ACTTTTTGAGTCGTTGGAACTTGCAATTTAGGATAATAGAAGACTCCGATGAGACCTAAATCATCGCTGAAATTCTTCCTTGATCGAGTCAAAAGTCTCTTCTTACCTAACACGCCGAGACACAGAAATAATGGCACTAATAAATAACGTAGCTTAATCACAATTTGCGGAATGAGATGGGCAAAAATGTAAATTCGGACATCTTTGCAATACAGCGCAAAACGACGATAGAATGTCACTGGTGGATGAGTCGTTGTTGACGTTTGGTTGGTCTTTTTCGAGCATATAGATACCAAACGAGAGAGTATATCAAGAATATGTTTCTCATAAATAACCTTGAACAAAGAAAAGACTGAAAAGCAGACGAAGATAAAACGGCAACTTACAGCAAATGCAGCGATGGCAGTGACTGTGATAAAAAAGTAAAGTAGAATACATGTTCCAGTATAAACACCGAAAACTTGAACAAATGAGATGTTTGTTAACATGTTGGTAAAGAAAGCTGCCGATGTTGTGAGCGAAGTGACAAACATGGATGATGCGGCATGTTTCAATGTATTCGACATGATTTCGACGAGTGCGGCTTCATCTAAGAGACTTTTCCGGATTTCTTCGGTTTCATGGTACAAACGAGTACGATGACGAAATTGAAATGCATTCACAGGTCTTTTCGATTTACTTGGTTTTACCTTTTGATTCGATGGAGCATTCAACGGTATGTCTGCGTCTAAATACAGAATATTCAATAAGTGTACGATGTGTAAATAGGAACTTATAATTCTGTGTTTCAAATTGAATCGTTCACGTATCCGATGTACGGGTCGAACGTCGCTCGCAATAAAAGAAACAAATATCTTACTATCGGAAGTGAGTTTTTCTTGATGTTGTTTTAGCCATGTCGCCTTTTCTTGTTCCCATGTGTCGAAAAAGACAAAAATATCATCACAACCAATGCCAATCAAGATAAATGCTGACATTAGATTCATATACGGAAATATCGGTATACGGTAAATGACTCGATAAACAAAGTAACTGACGCCAAGCGATAAAATAGCACCAACGACGATAATCAAAGCAATAGTCATGCTTCGGAGATAGAGAACTGTTATACCGACAATTAAGATTGCAGCCATAAGAACAAGTAACATATCTAAATATTTTCATCAAGTGGAACTTTTGAAGCATTCGTTTTTCTCTACTAACCTTTGTGTATCTGTGCCATGGCTGCTTTTTCTCTTACATTGGCTAAATTAAAAGCAATTAACTTGATAAATCGATCCTTATATGCTGATAATTTTCGCTGTCCACCAAAATATTTTCCAGCTATACCAACTAATTCCTTCTCTTTTAAATTTGGCGTTAACAAAATCACTTCTTCCGTTTGATTGATGCATTCATATTTACAATGACAGTACTTCTCACAATCACCATTCGGTGGACCTTGATCGACGCATGATATCGTAGTGAAATTGTTTCGGTAATCATCGATACAACCACGTTCGCGGCAGTATCTTCTTGAGTACGGTTGTCGTCTTAAACACATCGTTTGATCACGTGTACGATTGTATTTACTTATTTTATAATTGGATATGTAGATCATCGATATTGATACTTTAGCGTTCACTTTCGATTGTTGAAAACTTTGAATGAATTTTTCATCGACGAAATGATCGAAGATGAATCGAGTGATATTCTTATAAAAGCAAATATGTCGCAAAGCAGGATAGATGGCTTTGATTTGTTCTTGATGAGTCGAATAACCAGGATGATGTTCGATCACGACACGATTGAGAAACTCATCACTCAATGGAATGTCCATATAACCATCGATATAATATGGTAGACATGTATGAAGTACCGAGCGGAAATGTTCGACATCATCCGCTGTGATTGATTGACAGTCAGTTTTCGATGAATACAGAGCAACAAATGTCGATAAGGATAAGCTCGGAGTATCATCAGGTGAGAGAAGATGTTTAAATTTCTTTTCCCATTGACAAATGGATTGTAGATATTCAAGTGATAGTAAATCTGCAGTTGGATCAATGCGTTCCATGTAAAATTCGATCATACCATCACGACCTAGATTCTAGTGACTTGATAGGTGCTCTACCGAACGAATGTTCTTACCTGCTCGACCGCGGTATTTTTCTTCGAGTAGAAAAGCATATGGTCGGAAAAGATCGAATGATAAACGAGCCGACTGGTAATTTGTTCGATTGAACTGTGGAAGATTTCGTACGAAATCTAATACAGAAATATTGATTCTACAGAAGGAGAGAGCAAGTATGGATTTTTTTCATAAAATATTGACATTGATTTACATTTTATCATCTACATATTTAAATATGGAATTTTTAATATCAAAATGTTGATTACGGTGCCATTTGTAGATTGAGGCTGCTTGAGAACCTTCTTTCTCGTTCTCGTCATCTTCATCATAATCAGGATTATCATCATCTCCTTCTTGATCGGCATCATAGAACGTTTCATTCAAACTTCCATAGTCAAATAACTGATCTGATTGAGAATCGACACTTTTCTTTCTCCAGAGATCGTATTTAGCGAGAATATCAGACCGATACGTGTTTTCATCGAGATTCTCAGCAGTGATATTATAAAACTGACCAAATGCGCCGAATAGCTCGTTGGTATCCAACGGTAATTCATAGGCGAGACGAAATCTTTCTGATGCATGACGTAGAACCATTAATTGAGAAAAGATCGTTCCTTTTCCACGCGCACCCCATCCCTACGAAATAACAAACAATAATGACTTATGTCTATTCGACTTCTTACCATTCGTGGATCGGAAAAATCTGGTAGTTGAGTAAAAACTAGACCAACAAGTGTTAGAATAACGCAGATGAAGATCACGAAACATAGTACAAGCCAGTGATGACGGACCAGTACACGTGAATAGCTTTATAGAGAAAAAAAACGTTTAGAAAAATGACAGATCGGTAAATAAGGACCAATCCTGTTTCTAGATGCCTATAGAGTTCGCTTACTTACGTAATGTTGGAGAAGTATGACATTGTCGAGCGTTTTTCAATCAGAAAATAATGGACCGATACAATAATATAAAATGTCTGCTCTACAACAAGAAGTAATAAAAATGAAAATGATTGATTGCTCTTCTTTCATTTTATTTCTCTCCGCTCTCTCTCTCTCCTTATAACACAATTTACTTCTCTTCGTGCAGGTACTCGATTGCATTTGTATTTCATATGCAAACTAAAAGTACATACTCTATGACATGTGAACACACATAATGACTAAAAATTCATCGGCAATGCGTCATTTCGCCATCGAAAAGGATAAAACCGTAGCAAAACTAAAGTAAGACAAGCGAACAGATAGCAATCTTTTCTATTAACGCACCGAGACGTTCTGGTATCGATGTTTCATCCTGACACTACGCCTCTTCACATTGAATGAACTAAACGAAACTAGACAAGTCTTTTCACATGATCAACTAGAATGTTTATTCAACTCTTTCGGTATTTAACATGAATACGCTAATTAGTTGACTCACGTATAATGATCGATACAAGCTAGACTCTAAACAGCAAAGGTAAAGAGAGAGAAAAAACAGCCTACTAAGTCATACGTACATCGACTTTCTTCCTAAAGAATTCGTCGTAGTAATACTGTTGAGTACGAAGTAAATTTATAAGCAAACATCAAAATAAACGATCGAACGAGTAGATAACCAGTGAAAATATTCAAATCTTCTTAGCTCAATTTGTTGTTTTTCCTTCAGATTAATGCTTTTTCTCTCGTGTTGTGATTGTGATACATTGACATTGTTGGAATTTCTATTCTTTCTTTTTCTTCCTTCTTAAAATCTAAACGCGTCTACACACGCTAACGTATTCTCTATACCATTACTATGACTCCTGATTAAAAGAGACGATCGAGATTGCTTTGTCCTTCAGAACTACCCGAAGTACCATTTTCAATATTCATGCATTTCTACGTGCGGAAATCATCTTTTGAATCCGCTCAATACACGCTGAGTCTAATGATGTATTGCAAATGAAAACGAGCAAAATTTACCACGACAACGTTGGGACGAGAGAAAATAATCTTTCATCCTCTTATGAAAAACGCGACACGCACATTGAGAAGTGAGGATATATTTTCAAGGTCGCTCTGATGTGACGCAGGGAAGAAATGATACTGAACATTTAAAGAAGTCGGTCATAGAAAAAAAAAAGAGAAAAATACGTGTCCGTCGTTAAATGAAACATTTTTTCATTCGACATCTTGCATTTATTTGTCTTGAATATTTGTTGTTATATCTGAAGTAGGAAAATAGAAAGCAAACTTGCAATCAACAATAATGAGTAAGAAGACATTGCCATGCTAAAAATATCAGAGTAACTTTTTTTTGAATTCTTAGGAGTTTTTTCTCGACGAAAATGAATTTTATGTGAAGGTTTGTTATTCTGTTGCATAAAAATATCTTGAGAAAAAAGAACAAGTTGAAACTGTCGCTATTTTATGAGTTGTGTCTACACGTGAATTTCAATCAAACAACGATATCTTTGATTGTCGATTGAATATACAGCACAGACTATAAAAGAAAAATGAATTCGTTTAGTCACCTTGAAAGAAACTTATTATTTTACTTTAAGGTTAAAAAAACGACCTCTGTTTCGCAGGCAATCGACCGCGCCCTCATGAAAATCTATCACGAAAACAAAATGGTGTATACCACTAATCAGCTTTCAAACCACATTTATTCGGTGACATATGAATAAGTCTGTCATGGTTGAATGAAGCGCATTTTAAAAAAATGCATGTTCACCTGATATTATGTATTCGTGTTTGATCGAATATATCGGCTGACTGTCTTCTGAATGATTAACGAAATAGCGCTCGTACGGCCACGACTTGTTCCGTCGACAAGATTTCTTTTAGCGCTACTTGTTTGCTTCGCATTTGTGGTACAATATGCGCAGCGAATTAATTTATCGATTGCTATTATCTGTATGGTTCGCCGGAAAACATCTGACTCTGATGGGCAACAAAATACAGTTAGTGATCGCATGAGTTTCGTTTTTGAAGAAACAACATTTCGCTGGAGCGAATGGGATCAACAAATCATTCTCGGTTCTTATTGGGCTGGTTACCTATTGACTCTCGTTCCAAGTACGCCTAGGAATATCGTTTTATACATAGAAAAAAGATGAGCTCTTCTGTTCTTCAGGTGGTTGGTTATCAATATCTTTAGGAGCAAAGCTAATGTCTGCCACTGCAGTTTTCTTTAGCTCATCAGCTACGATCGCGCTTACTAGTATTTATTACTTCGAAAATGCTTCATTTCCACTTGTTGTTAGCTTACGAATACTCATCGGTGCTGCTCACGGTATTCTCTTTCCAGTCACCTATACACTTTGGTCACAATGGGCGGTACCTAACGAACGCGGTACTTTGGCATCGATCGGTTTTTCTGGAACAAACATCGGAACGTGTATGACTAAGATCGTATTTTTGCAGTAATATAGAATTGATTTGTTTCATAGCATTGGTAGTCCTCGCCGGTGGTCTCTTTTGTCATTATATAGATTCGGGTTGGATATACATTTTTCTTCTATCAGGTATTCTTGGCTTTATCTGGTTACCATTATGGTTATGGCAGGTGTCTGACGCGCCAGAAAACCATCGAAGTATTAGTAATGCCGAACGACAATACATTGTTGGTATCATCGGAGAAAATTCACAGCGTCGTTCTGTATCATTGTCTGCATTGCCGTGGAAGACCATTGTCCGGTCAAAGCCGATTATAGCATTATTCCTAACGGAAACATGTCAACTTGTTGCCTTATTTTTTTTTCTTAGTAATCTCGGCAAAATTCTGCGAGAAATTCAACAGATTCCCAGTCAATATACCGGTTATATACTAGCCTCTGGATTCGTCTTCATGTTAGTTGGAAATATATCAGCAGGTAAATGCTATATTCGATAGTCAGATCTTGGTAACAATTATGAATATTGATTGATGAATAGGAATTGCGGCAGATAATCTCGTTCGAAGAAGCATTATGACATTGGTAGGAGTGCGCAAGTTATTCAATTCTTTGGGATCATTCATACCTTGTCTGTGTATGATTGTATTCTGTTTTTGTGATGAAAAACGGAGAATACTAGGCGTAATTAACGTCGTATTCTTCCTTTTGAGTTCAGGTAAATTATTTTTTATCCAGTTCTTTTCAACAATCTATCAAAATATAGGTTTCTCCTATGGCTCTGGTTATATCGTGAATTATGCAGACGTTGTACCGGCGTATGCTGGTTTAATTTTCGGCATCGTCACTGCAATTTCGTCGTTTGGTGCAGTAATCGCAAATCTAATAGCAGGAATCGTGATTAAGCAGCCCATACTTGAAGACTGGAGAAAATTGTATATTCTCTTCGGTATTATTTATCTTATCGGTGGACTAGCTTTCTTGTTATGGGCTTCAGCTACACCTGAGAGATGGGCTACTCTGGGATCTCAACAAGAAAATAAAACTATCGAAGAAACAGTACCAATGAACGAGAGTGAACAGAACGATAATAGAACTCGAACGGATGAACATTTGTATATCAATGCTTAGACCATTCGAATTCCAAAATAAAATGAGAAAAAAACTACTCAAGAAATAAAAGATCTTTGTATAGTGAAACAAACATTCAAAGTAAATGACAGCAGTGAGCTTCAAATCTCAGTAACACTGATAAATCTGCTTGATATATCCTAATGAATGAATGGCATGACGCAAAGTACACTTTCTAATTGTTCCGTGAAAGATGTCGCTATCTGCCGTCTTCGTGAGGCATTAGTAATTTCTTAATGGTTTTGTATACAATGTTCTATGAATCCAAGAGTTATTTCTTCTCCGTTATGTTGTGATGTTACCTTTTATGTCATTCGGTGAATTGTCTTTTCTATGTCTGCCTATACTTTAGATATAATCGTTTATTTGAAATAAAATGGCTTCAGGAGATGTTCAATCGGATGAAAGTCTTTATCCAATTGCCGTTTTAATCGACGAACTACGCAATGAAGATGTTCAAGTAAATTCTTTCTTTTTACAAAAGATTTCTTGTCTAATCGGTGTTTGATTCTAGTTACGCCTAAATAGTATCAAGAAATTGTCCACTATTGCATTGGCACTTGGTGTCGAACGTACACGATCTGAACTTATACCATTTCTTACTGGTTTGTTTATGAATAATTTCCATCGACTGACGTTTGTTTCTTTTTTGTAGACACGATCTATGACGAAGATGAAGTTCTTTTGGCTTTGGCAGAGCAACTAGGAACTTTTACCCAACTTGTCGGCGGTGAAAGTTATGTTCATGTTTTATTGGTAAGAATTAATCAATAGATTCGTCCCATCGTCAGAAAAGATTGCTTGTCTGTTTAGCCGCCGTTGGAAAGTTTGGCACAAGTCGAAGAGACCATTGTACGTGACAAAGCGGTCGAATCATTACGAACATTAGCACCACAACATTCAGCAACTGATTTAGAAACATACTTTATTCCAACAGTTAAGCGTTTAGCACAAGGCGATTGGTTTACGTCACGTACATCGGCATCAGGTCTTGTTTCTGTTTGTTATTCACGTGTTTCAAACCATGTTAAAGGCGAATTACGACAGTGAGTTCTTCTGGCTACAAATAATGACATTTCTAATTGAGTTTTCGTTATAAGATTGTTCAAAAGTCTCTGCCAAGATGATACACCAATGGTTCGCCGTGCAGCTGCATCGAAATTAGGGGAATTTGCTAAAGTTGTCGAACCAGAATATTTACGTCAAGAACTTGTCCCGTTATTTACAAATTTAGCAAATGACGAACAGGATAGTGTACGTTTGTTAGCAATTGAAGCCGGTATTGCTATGGCTGCTTTATTTCGACACGAGGATTTGGAACAACAAATGATGCAAACATTACGTACGGCTACTGAAGATAAATCATGGCGTGTACGTTACGTTGTAGCTGATAAGCTTGTTGATGTAAGTCAAGACTGATGTCCAAAAAGGAAGAGAAATCATTTTTGTTTTCAGTTACAAAACGCGGTTGGTCCGGAAATAACAAAGAATGATTTAGTTGGCGCGTATTGTTCTTTATTAAAAGATCCTGAAGCTGAAGTTCGTGCGGCAGCAGCTTCGAAATTGAAAGATTTCTGTAATAATCTACCAGCCGACACACGCGAACAAATCATTATGTCACAAATTTTACCATGTGTCAAGGATATGGTCGGCGATATGAATCAACATGTGAAATCTGCTTTAGCCTCAGTTATCATGGGCCTTTCGCCAATACTTGGAAAGGATAAGTATGTCTTGCAGGAAAATATCAGTTCAATGAACTATCTCATCACTTGTTCTTTCCTTTAGTACATTGGAACATCTTCTTCCACTTTTTCTAAATCAACTAAAAGATGATTATCCTGAAGTTCGATTGAATATTATTTCCAACCTCGAATGCATCAATGAAGTATGTTGAAATTTTGCATAGGATCGATCGATTATCAGTCATTTGTCCATAGGTTATTGGCGTCCGTCAATTATCGCAAAGTCTTCTTCCGGCTATTGTTGAATTGGCTAGCGATGCCAAATGGCGTGTTCGTCTCGGCATTATCGAGTATATGCCGCTCTTAGCTGGTCAACTTGTATGTATTTTCCATTCCAACCAACTTACACTATTCCTATGATTGAAAATGTGTTCTAGGGCCCAGAATTTTTCGACGAAAAATTGAGTAGCCTTTGTATGAGTTGGCTCACCGATCATGTCTTTGCTATTCGTGAAGCTGCAACAAATAATTTAAAGAAATTAGTTGAAAAATTCGGCCGTGATTGGGCACAAAACACAGTCATACCTAAAGTCATCCAACTAGCTCGTGACCAGAACTATTTATATCGAATGACATGTTTATTTGCTATTAATGTACGTAGATCATAATTCCATCTGTTCTCCTAGCTAAACCTACTCCGTTTCCTATTAGGTCTTAGCTGAACCCTGTGGTCAAGAAGTCACACAAAGAATGATGTTACCTACAGTCATCACCCTCGTCAGTGATCCTGTTGCCAATGTACGATTTAATGTTGCAAAAACTCTTCATCGTATCTATCCAGTATTGGATTCAAGGTAAATTAATAAAGATGTTTATTTATCGTGTACAAGTTTCTTTTTAGCGTATTGGCATCACACGTCAAACCTGCGTTAGACAAATTGAGTCAAGATGCTGATCATGATGTTCAGTATTTCGCGAGTGAAGCTCTTGAAAGTAAGTTTATTATTCTTCACAAAAAAAAACTATACCGAAAATGTCCCGATTGTATACAACCAATGTTGATCTTATAGAAGTTATCGAAGCTCTATAAAGAAAAAGAGATCCTTCCTACTGGTTGGTAGTTGTTTGAACTATGTGTGTCAGTATGAGCAGTACTTTCTTGCTTTTGAATAATTCTAGATACTAACCGAATTGAACTTCTTTTACAGAAATTTGACTTCATCAATTTGCTTCTCTTGTACATTTTAGTGTTACCCAAAGCTTGATGAATTTCAACATCGGACATCTTCCTCTCTTATTTTATTTGTAATTCTGGTTTTCTTTTTTTCTGCTACCCTTTAATGTTGTCATATTTCTCGTATTCTCTCTCTCTCTCTCTTTTTTGGCGTCATCAGTTCGATTTTACATTAGTTTTCTATAAGAAAACATTTCTATATATACATATTACACTTTATTTTCTCTCTTTCTCTGCCAGAAAACAAAACAAAACAAAATAGTGTACTTTTTCTCTCTTCGTCTGATTGAACAACACGGAAATTTATCAAATAAAGAAGATCAAAAACTCATCAGTTGATCGCAAAATGTTCGTTCATTTCTGATAGACAACGTACACCAAGAATCGATTTAAAACATCAGTTCTATAGGAGAAAAACTTCGGACTCGGCTAATAAAACATTGATTGATAAGTGCAGCTGTACCCTTGCTGTGCGCAGTATTTGCATTTAACATCAGGACGTCTATCACACAGAGTGTTGGTGCTTAAGTTGTCACCGAGCAATGTACGAAAATAAATAAATAAATATTATCTGAATTGATTAGTTGAAACTTAGCGATACGAAAACCATCGTATCAAAGACTCCCGAACATCGTAAGAATGAATTTCAGGTTTCATCTGAAATATTTACTTTAGTCAATCTTTCACCACGCCTTGATCATCACACTTCATATTAACCGATATATCTATGCATCTTCCACGATGAATCACGTCCGATGTATAATCGATGACGCGACTTGCACAACATTTTGCGTGTTCTGTCTGTAATTTCACAACGAAGCATGAATAAGATAGATTTGCGAAGCACACTATAAAAGTGCGCTTTTTCTTTACAATTTCTCAGTCTGCCATGCCAGGAAAAATTCAAACTGTAATGAATGGTAACGGTGACGACAAGCCATGCGCCGGTGCTTGTCTTGGCATCGACGCCGAAGGCTTTCTTTTATTCGGTCCAGAAAATCGTTATAGTGAAATTCCAGCTCTTCGACTTTTCCTTGGTAAATACAAAATTTATCCGTCGACTATTGAATGTCAAACTGATGACGATGGCCTCTATTTCCATACTACAAGCATTCTGAATTATCTACATGAAGAATTCGGTCACGATCTCGGAAAAGACTGTATCACACGAAAATATAATCGAAAAATCAAGAAAAATTACAATAGTGATCGTCTGACTGATCTTGGCAATGGAGTTATTATTCATTTCGTTGGATCAAACCTGGATAATGAAGTTCAAAATCCAAATAAACTCAAACCCGATCACCCAGATAATTATTTTCTCATTTGTGAAGAAATCCGTATCTATCATTTACCAGAGCAAGAACCATTAGCTGAAAGTTTAGACAGCAAAATCAAAGAAATGACTGTCTTCTCATCAAAATCCTGTACTTTACAAATGGTCTGCCGCAATTCATGTGGTTTTTATCTCAGTGCAATTAAAATTAAAAAACCATTGATCACTGATCTCGCTCTGCATTATGGTAAAAAATTTGTGAATGTTCACGACAAGATCCTCAAAAATCTTAATACCAAAGATTCCAAAGGCATCGTTCTTTTACACGGCATTCCCGGTTCAGGTAAATATCCATTCAATTTGATGTTCCCACTTCTATTCATCCGGTGATCGTTTAGGCAAAACCCATTACATACGATATCTGATTCAAGAAGTTCAAGATAAAACATTGATCTATGTACCACCAGACATGGCGAAAGAAATCTCATCACCTCAATTTCTTCCTTTTTTGATGGAATGGCAAAATGCTATTCTAATCATCGAAGACGCCGAAAATATCATCAAAGACCGAAGTGAAACATCAACACCCTCGCAAGCTGTTGCTAATCTTCTTAACTTGTAAGTCTAATCTAAATTAGTGTCAACTAGAATCTATTGGTTGATTTTCTAGATCCGACGGTTTACTAGGCGATGCTATGCATCAACAAATTATCGCCACATTCAACTGTGATTTAACAATCATTGATCCAGCTTTATTACGCAAAGGTCGATTGATTGCTAATTATGAATTCAACAAACTTGATGT